CTCTCAGACTGACCCCAAACAGATATTCCACAGCGGACTGCGGCAGCAGAACAAACTACTACTTGATTGTTGTTAGTGCTGCTAAAAAGAATACAGCTGCAATGCTTGGGCTCAAAAAGAAACGTCGGAACTCGGGAGGAGACTGGTAAACTGGACGGAAAGGTCAGAGAGATTACAGATTGAGAACTGTGGGGAGAACAGACTGGGCAGAGTGGAAACGGAGGGACTTGAGGCTAGACAATAAACAGTTAAAGTTCAGATTTCAAAGGTGGAGCAGTTCTCTACAAAAGTGCCCAGGATGTGATTATGGCTATGGTCTGCTAGAGAGGAATAGAGGTGGAAACCATTGTGGTTGAGGTCACGGAACATTAAATCAAAGCTGTTGAACAGTCTGGCCACTTCAATACGGATGAAACCCAAGAGGAAGACTGTGAACCATACACAAAGTTCTCAGTGGCTGTGACGGTGCCCAGAAGGTAGGTAACAGCGACGAGAAGGGGTGGAGAGAGGGAGGGACGGACTGCGTTTTCCCTAACGGAAGAGGTGCAGGCACTGAAATCTCCTACCTTTGCACGTAGTTCCATTCCCAGTGTAGCCTGGCTTGCAAACACAGTTGTGTCCTCCAACAGTATTGAAGCATAAAGCATTTTCATCACAGTTGTGCTGATTTGTGATACACTCATCATGTTCTGAAACGAGGATACATTTTTGTTACTCAAAGAGAGATTTCTCAAAGACACTGTGTTGCACATTGCACCTTCATCTCTGTTATTGTATGGTAGTTCTTTCAAATACAAACACAAATTACTTATTAAAGAATAGCTCATATTTTGAAATATTGTCTATCCGTCTTGAAATACATATCTAGTGTACACATCCCCAGACCTTGAACGCAAAAGGATTTAGACAGAAGGCCCACCAGCAGTAGACAGTAGAAAAGAATACAAGAGGAGAGGCAAAGAGAGAGATTAATTCTCAGAAGCAGATCCCAGAGCCAGCTGTATACAGTCTCAGTGGTTAATATTTGGGGAATTATTCTCATGAACTAAATATGCCACGTAACTCTGTCTTGTAGCACAGGAAGGGTGACAGGAAAGGGTGTGTAACTATTGCTCCATGAATCCCGATCTGCAGGTTTCTGGAGCTGAAGCTTTGGGAATTAGGTGCAGTTAACACCCGTATCCTCACTTGCAGGCATAAAGTTACACCTGCAAACTGCTGGGGGAGTATCTGAATTTCTTGGTATGTTTGCTCTTTCTGTAAAGAAAGTATCACACTTCTACTAAATAAGACAAACTCGCCTTTATGATATGTGTAAGTGCATACAGACTTTTAAATGTACGATCAATATAACACATCATTTAACTGTGTGTAACTTGACAGCTTGGAAAGCACTGAATCGTCTGATTTTCCCAGCTCCCCTGCAAGAGAGGCTGAAGCAGTACCCTTATTACTGGTTTAAAAATGAGTCAAGGTTGATTCAGGGTGCTTAAGCAGCCTGCCCAAGTGCACGGGAGTATTAGTTAACTTTAGAATTCTACCTCAGCGTTCAGCAAAAATGTAAATGTAAGGAATAAATACACTGCCTATGAGAAAAAAAAAACAACCCAGCCCCAGCATTGAAATGAAGATGAGTAGGAAGTGAAACGCATACAAGTTAGTTCAGCCATCAAAAATCCCTATCACAGGACTACTTATTACCCAGGCTCTGACATCAATATTATTTAAGCCCCAAATTAAGTAAACATTTTAATAGCCTTATATTAATTGAGCCATTAATTCACTGTGATGTAAATCATCAAAGCAAAAAAAAATTTGCTTTTTACTTTGGAACTCTCCGTATTCCAAATGATATGTATTATTCTAGATAATATAATAGTAATATACCTGTAATTTTGAAAAAAAAATTTGCCTTTGGCATATGTAGTTGAGATTAGACCAAAATCACTTATTTCAACTACTAAAATAGAATGTTCTTTGTTTTATTTTTAAAAAAGTAATATTTCATAGTTCTTTGTCCTGTATTATACAAGCACACAATTATGAGAGCTTTAACTATAGCCCTATAATAAAATTCATAGAGATTATTTCCAATAACCTTTCCGAGGACCAAGAGATTTCAAACATTAAGGTTTTAGAATTGCATGAATAGATACCTTTCTATCCAAATGCCTGGCTCAATTTCCTTAAATTATATATCATGCCACCTTTATTATCTAGAATTAGAATATTTCCCAGCTTTTAAATAAATTCATGCATCTTGATGACAGCGTAGACCATAGCTGGATTACACCCAGTCTCCTGATCGGGGCTACCCTTGGACACTATTAAATATCAGAGGGACCAGAATGGGTAGCCCATCTACCTCTAGGTTCAGCTGCCTGAAGCAAAATAAACCCACACTGTGAAGTTTGCAGCTGCTGCCAGTTTTCTTCCCAGAGCAAAGCGCTGCAGTTAATCTATAAATCTCTATAAGGACAGCCCTTCCGCCCTTTAAAGACAGCTGCTGATTGATTTGATGCTGTTTCCACCCCTGTCTTGGTTGTCTTCTTAATCAGACGGTGGTCATTGGGCAGAGGAAGGGTCTAGCAAGATTCAGTTCAGCATCCAGTATGAAAATGTTCAATAAACGTTAAATAATTACACGACCTGGGATCTGGTTTCCTCTGTTGTCATTTATTCTCAGTGGCCACTAAAATGGATGAGTGGCTTCTAAGCAATTCAAGGGTAAAGACAGTTTCCAGGTTTCTAACTCTATCCACATGCACCTGTGCACGTATTGTTCCTTGTGCCTGAAGTGAATTCTCCTGGAAAAATTCTTACCACTTTTAAAGATTACACTAAAATATGTGTTTTCGTGAAAATACCTTTCTCTCCCCATCCTGCACAGTTAGAGGCTTCTGATTTCCCTAGCACCAGATCCACGGCTCTGTTATTATTTTTTATCATAATTGTCTACTTCATGACCTACCTGGGAGTGGGAAATTGGGGAAAAGAATTTTATATATACTTTTTGTATTTCATTTCAGCTTCAAACAAAGATTCCTGAATAACTGATTGAAAGAATGAATGACCAAATCAGCGGAAAGCAAGGACGAACCTCCCCTGCCATTATCATTCAAGTCAATTCCAATTTGTTCAGTTGTAAACTAGATGCCAAAATGGAAAGCTATTGAAAAGCTAGACTATTTGCAAATCAAACCACAGTGAGATATCACCTCACACCAGTCAGAATGCCCATCATTAAAAAGTCTACAAATAATAAATGCTGGAGAGGGTTTGGAGAAAAAGGAACCCTCCTATACTGTTGGTAAGAATGAAAATTGGCGCAGCCGCTATGGGAAACAGTGTGGCGGTTCCTCAAAAACACTAGAAATAGAATTACTGTATGATCCAGCAATCCCATTCCTGGGCATATATGCAGAGGAAACTCTAATTGAAAAAGACACATGCACCCCAATATTCATAGCAGCACAATTTACAATAGCCAAGACATGGAAGCAACCTAAATGTCCGTTGACAGATGACTGGATAAAGAAGATGTGGTAATATATACACAATGGAATACTACTCAATCCTAAAAAAGAATGAAATAATGCCACTGCAGCAACATGGGTAGACCTAGAGATTATCATACTAAGTGAAGTAAATCAGACAGAGAAAGACAAATACTATATAATATCACTTATATGTGGAATCTTTTAAAAAAAGATACAAATGAACTTATTTACAAACCAGAAATAGACTCACAGACATAGAGAACAAACTATGGTCACCAAAGGCAGGGCAGGGGGAGGTAAATTAGGAGTTTGGGATTAACATATACACACTACTATGCATAAAATAAACAGGGATCCGCTGTATAGCATATAGCACAGAGAACTGTATCAGTATTTTGTACTCAATAATGGAAAAGAATCTGAAAGAGACTACATAATATATGTTTATGTATAACTGAATCACTTTGTTGTACATCTGAAACTAACACAACATTATAAACCAACTATACTTCAATTAAAAAAAATCTAAGCTATTTTTCACTACTTTTACTATTGTGGTGCTTTATTTGATTTGTGATATTTCAAATATTAAGATATTTTGAAAACAGAAAATATTAATTCCTTTATATTGTCACTTTAATTTTTTCATACTACTTAAAATGAAGTTGGTTACACTTACACTCACAATTATCAACGAATGTAAATTGTGATCTTAAGGAAAGCCTTTTAAAATGCCTCTACTGTAATCTCACAGAAGAATTAACTTTAATTTGACAGCCCTTGACAAATCACAATGTGAACGAAGTGTGGAGCAAATATTCTAGAAGGTCATCTCAATAAACAGTTAATTATTGCTGCTCCACATCCAGCTTTGGTCAAATGTCAACTTCTACCCTTTCCCTGACTCACACATCCCCAAAGACTCCACAACCAACCCACCAGTCAGTTTATCCATTTTGAATATTTTCTCCAACATTCTTAACATATAATGTATAAAATTAAATAAAATAAGGAGAGAAATATTAAGACAAAATTTAAATCAATATTATGTCCCAGAGTTGGAGAAGAGCATGTCAGGATGTGACTGTGAATGAATTCCAAGTTTTATTTCACATATAATGAAAAGAAGACATTTCAGGTCTGATGTTCAGAATATCCAGTGCATCAGATTCAATGCTATCTTCACATCTTCAGTTAATATGTCATGGTTTGTGTGACAGGACATTCCAAATAATAACTGAGATTGAAACCAAATGTACCTCTTTCTAACTCTTTTCATTAAAAATATTAGCACCTAATAAGTTTAATAAACATTTAATCATTTTTGTATCTATTAATCTTAAATTTAAATAAAATAGAAAAAGAGGAAAGAAAACAATATCAATCAACAGTTCCAAACAAAAGTAACACAGGTGTCAATTATTATAGTATGTTATACACAGAATAATCTTATAGTGATAAGTGGCAAAGATTTGTCCTGTGTGCCTTAACGTGGTTGCTCTGCACCATTAGACACTATGTAAAACTGATTTCACATCAGTGACAAGGCTCAATATAGTAAAATTCCTCTATAGGAAAAAAGTAATATAATACACATCTGTATTCATCTAAATTCTGCTATGTAAAACAATAATACTATAGCTTCACTGATTAACTCTAAACCTGAGTAAATTAATGTACTTAAAATCATTTTAAGACTCCACACCTAAAAGGTCATCAGTCATATAGTCTAACATATGGTTGGACTTTAAAATTGGCATTCATATTGAGCTATTTCCAGGATGAATGCACTGCCTAGAGACAAGACGGCCACTCCAGAATTCACATAGCTTTTCACCCTAGGATTTCAACACAGACATACAATACACACAGCACATGTTCTAGTCAAGAATTTCACTATGATACAAAATGCAAATACTACAGAAAATAAAAAGTGAAAAGTAATTTAACTATATCTACATTTCAATTCAATTCAGTACAATTTTCTTCAATGTCTATTGTGTATTCGGATCATCTTGGAATTAAAAGTACGATTATAAATAGTAGCTACCCCCACAAAACATAGTTTAGCTGAGGAGATAAGACAAAAACACAAATGCCTTTAGTGTATGGCTTCATTATGAGAAATACTGAAGTAAGGAAATAATCTCTGTTTAAAGAGGGAGAGATCAAAGGAGGAAGGCACTTCT